GGTGCAGGTCACAAAATTTTCTTGAAGCAGTAGGCCTGGGTCACCTCCTTTGTGCACAGGCCGTCCCAAGCGTAGAGCGTCCCTGGAGGGCAGTGCTGGGTGACCTCCTTTCCCTGGTCACACCGGAAGTACTTGTCGCATAGCGACGGGTGGGGGAGGTAGCTGCCGTCGCTGCTGTGGTAGCAGGCGTTGTCGATGCCGGCCAGGGCTGGAGGGAGGACGAGAGGAGGGGGGAGGGAGGGAGGAGATGATATCTCTTACAAGAAAATGGTTACTTGCAATGTTTTAACTACGAACAATGTTAACCCTATCAGTACGTCGAGTTTTACTATGGTATCCATACGACGGGGAGAAATCTGTGCTACCACTTTCCAAAGAGGAAATTTACTCGGTAATCCGATCTGAACGCTTTGCATAGCAGTCTGTCAAAATGATTTTTTGAGAAATACTGAAAGTTTCAAAGAGGTCTTTGTACTAGAAGTATTCTAAAATGTGAAGAATACAACCCCGCTGGTACAAAATGACCCCAGAGCGAACAGATAGGGATAAGATAAAGTTCTAAGCAATACGGCCCATATCGTATATTCTCTTGGCTTTGTTTTAATATTCATAGCAGGGACGAAAAATCTCTGTGGTCCCGTGTGCAAAGTTTGTACATTAAAATCCCTTGGTGATCCTAAAATCAATCAGAGCCGCCACCCGGGCAAGTTTCAAAATTACATAATTCCTACCAAAACTGAAAATAATCAAGTCGGTATAAAACTATAATGTATCTCCGAAATCAGAATATGGCTGCTTAAGGAAAGGGGGCCCTACGAAGTTGAAATAGAGTCACATCATCATCATCATCATCATCATCATCCAGAGCCAGATCTGCGACAGACATCGGCGATCATAGTTCTCCATTCATTCCTTTGCTCGGATGCTCTTAAAAAAACCACATTTCCCTGATCTTTCTCTGTAAGTTGCTCTAGGCCTACCCCTGCCTCGTAGACTTCAGTTTCGTCAGTGAGAGCTAGATGTTCAAAACCCTATGTCTATTCAGGAGTCCCAAAAACGTCATTTGTCGTTTCCTGGTTGTTTTTAACAGAGTCACATACTACGTAAAAATCAGTAGCAATGCAGGTTGAAGAACCAGCAGTCGGCTGCCCTTGAGATCTACCATGGGAACACAGAGAAAAAAAAGTGACCCTTTCACCCCCCCCCCCCC